ACAAGAGTTAGAGGACTGAAACCTCTGGATCCATGAGCTCAAACAAATCTTCCTCTCAGCAGTGGAAAGTCTAACATAAACTGTCATGGCCAGAACTCTAGTAGCCCACCTGGACCATGAAGTAACTTCAGGAATCATGCACGGTGAACAAAGGAATCTAGGTTCCCAACTCCATGAAGCCTGGTCCCACTCCTGAACTTTATCTACCTGAGGGAGTTAAGTGTTGTCTTATTTGAGCCACTGTCATCTGGGGACTTTTTGATACTCATCTGAGTCTACTCCTGACATAGCCCCAGCTTATACATTAGAAAACTGAGGCCTCTCCTAGGCTAGAAACATCCTCCTCTTCTGCCCTTCCACTCACCCAGTATAGTGAGTCTTCCTGCCTAATGATGACCATCAATCCAGCCCCTCCAGTTCCCACCAGAGAATCAAAGGCTAGGGATGTGGCTCAGGTGGAAGAGTACTAGCCTAGCATACACAAGACCCAAGGTTCAAGCCTCAGCACTGCATAAACTAGATGTGGTGGTACACCCTTATAATCCTAGCACTCAGGAAATAAGGGCAGAAGGGTCAGAGTTAAAGGTCATCCTTGGCTACCTAGTGGGTTTGAGGTTAACTTGGGTTATATTAGACCCCAATTACCCACAAAGCCTTGCTCACAGCTCAGGACTGGCATCTGCTCCAATCCCTTGGGGCCAGAGCATCACTCACTGGTGGGCATTCTGACCATCCGCCTATCTGTGGCCATCATAAAGAGACAAACACCTACACCCTTCTCATAAATCTATTAGCCTGGGATGGACAGCCTCTGATGCTTTTAGGAGCCTCACTCACCATAGTTGTCAATAACGCATCTTCCTTCTCTCCTCTTGGGTTCCCAGGACCTGCAAGACCAAAGGAAGCTTCCAGAAATTACCCTCCCTGTGACCATGGCCTGCAGAACGGCACTGGGGACATGCATCCTGGAAAGCCAGCTCTCCTGGGGGCTTAAATATTTAATAGCAATTGGTGTTTACTATCTAACAGACGGAAGGCATTAAAATTCAACTCAGAGCACATCCACCTTCTCCAAAAGCCACCACTGTGCTAGGTCAGACAGTGGTGCTCACTCAATAGTCTGTCTTAAACAGTGATGCCAAAGGAGTCGATCCAGGATAGGAATCTGACTGTCAGAGGAATTTTATCAAATCCATTTCCCCTCTAGAAATCTCCTTCAGCAACCTGGCAAAAGCGTCCAATCCACCGACTGCCCCTAGTGGTGGGGAACTCACTGCCTTGATGTGAGAACTCATTCTAGAATTTCAAGTTGCTTTCAATGCTACTAGCCACCCTGGACAGGTGAGGAAACAAGGGATCAAAGGCAAGAGAAAGGCAGGCCGGTGGTCCCTCAGAAGGGAGTGCAGTCAGATAGAGGGGCTCCTACACTGGCTACTGCTGTCTACTCTATCATTCAGCACAGTGTCTGCCTACTTCTAGTGTCCCCCAGGCCAGCTGCCACCCCAGTGCCTCATCCCAATGAATTTCAACCTGCCAGTGACTCAGGAGGTGGGACCTGGGACCCAGGACCCTGGTGCAGGTTTGGGCCATGCTGGAAACTACTCCATGTGCAGATCCTTCTCACCACTGTCTTTGGTTGAGTGGGCAACCTCGGGTGGCCCAAGGCGACTAGTCCTGTCCTGAGGGGGTGCCCGCATCGTAGAGTCCAGCGCCGGCTCAGGCTCGTCAGAAAAAGGCAGGGGCTGGTTGCTGGTCAGTCCTCGTGGCAATGTCTGCATCAACTTGAGTTTCCGGAACCTGTTGGACATTCGGTTCCACCAGGACTGCACAGAAGGGAGGGAGAAAGACAGCTGCAGAGACAGCAGGGCAGGCCCAGGGACAACGCCGCCACTCCACAGTTTTCCCATCTTTGGTGCCAGGCAGGCATTGCCAATCGGCCATAGCACCCTTCCTAAAAGGCTGTACTGCTCACCCTTTCTAGTAGACCAGAGGGGAAGACCACAGTCTGCCATCCCTCATCTGCTCAGTACAGAGAAACGGGAAGTCAGGCAGGAAGTTGGCTGCTCAGGGCCTTACTGGGAACCAGGGCCAGAGAGAGGCCACAGGGCAACTCACACAGCCTGCATAGCCTCCCTCTACCTACTCTAGAGATGTCCCAGAGAAGAGACAGTATAGGCTCAGGCCATCTGCCACTGTGGCTGATCTTCTTCCAGAACCTGCAGCCCAGCACTGCTCAGGGGCTCCCATCAACCCACAGCACGGTAAGATGGGAGCCATGGGATCCAGATGTCAACTCTGTAAGTAAGACCTGCTTGCACAGGAGACGGGAAGCAGGAGAATGGCAGGCCAGAGCAGCACAGGAGTCTACACATAGGGTGGAGTCCACACATAGGGTGGAGTATCAGTCTGCACTCTTGGGAATAAAGAAGTTTGGCTTTTAACAAGCACAACAGACAGAGACGAGAGAATTTTCTGGCCATGAGAACAGAAACCAGGTGCCTAAGCAGGTTTTCTGGCACTTACAGGAAACAGCCAAGGGCTGTGAGAGCCTCAGTGGCACAGTCAGCAAGTGTCCACAGGCAAAGTGAGGCCCAGCCTAGCCAGCTTAGGGTTAATCCTGCAGGATTTTAAAGATCTCCTCCTTCCATTTATAAATTGGGGTTCTACATCACAGCCTGAATTTCTGACTTGTTTTAAAAAGAGA